GGTACCGGGGCCGGTACCGGTCGCTCCTGCTCCTCGCGTGTCCGCAGCGGGACGGCGGCCAAGCCCCGGCGATGCCGCAGAGGCGGCCGGGCGCCGGCGGGAGCAGCGCTGCTCCACGCGGCCCCGTTCGGGCAGCGGCTGCAGCGGAGCATCCGCAGTGTCCGCCCCGCGCCGTGAGGCCGCTGCATGGTGCCGAGCTTTGTGCGGGGCAGCCGGCACCTGCCAGCGCGCAGAGCAGGCGGAGCAGCGGGGAATCCTGCCGTGCCCACGGACTGAGGGTGTCCGGGACACCCACGGGCACATTCCCAAYGCCAGGGTGTTCTGTAGCACGGGCAGGGCAGGAGGACTTCTAGTGCATTAGATACCRAAAAAGCCACTGGGACAGAAGGTCTGCACAACAGCTTGGGACACCAAACGTGTCCCGACGCAGGAGACGCTCTCCCTGAGTGCCCTGTGTTCTCAGTGGAGAAAGGGCTTCCAGGCCTGTCAAAGTCATGACATGACTTTCCAGGCTGAAATGGTCTTTAGAAGAGCCCGAGCAAGACATCAGATTTTGTCCTTGTTTGCACAAATAGATACGAATAGAATCTGAAACCCTTTGGGTAAGGGGAGCCTGGGGAGCCAAAGCCCGGAGAGCAGAATTCCCAGTTTCCTGGGCACTGCATGGAGCGAGTGCATGGGGCTCACATCCTCACTGAGACCTGCCTCAGTCACCCYGCTAAGCCTTGGGAGGCCTTGCTAGGTTCTTCCAGATGATTTATTCTTATTTCTAGTGGCCCTCCTGCGTTATAAYGAGGATTAAAAATGGATATTACCTTGCTGCTGATCCCCATCGTCTTGATYTATCTGCTGTTTTCTGATGTGACAGTGTGACAAATGCTTTGCTGTGATCTAAGCTGGGTATTGCCTGGCGTTTTTCATCATCTGTCACTCATTTGGAACAGTTGCATTAAAAAATGCAGAAGCTGCTTTCCCTCCTGTTTTAACATTTGTTCCACAAACGGGGCAGACCATCTTTTCAATTAAATATTTTAATTTWGGGCTTCATAGAGCTGTGTTTATTCACTTAATTAATTTGTGGATGATTACTGTTCCAGTTAAAACGCATTAAAAMCAAGTTTGTATCCTGTATTACCAGGATTGCTGATTTGTCACCTTTTTTAGGGGCCAGTCAACTGTTGTGGTCATTGATGGCAGCATCACAGATTTCACTCCGCAGCACGACAGAACAATTGTAATTTGAAGGAAAACCTCATGAATAGCTCTTTCTTTGTCGTCTTCAAATTAACAGAAATCAGTGATGGGCCACAGCTGCAGAATCAGTCACAGCACCGCTTGCCTTGCATTGATTTCTTGCTCTGTCTCAGGTGCGTGTAGGGTTTGCTGACCCTCAAGCTGGCACAGAACAGCCCAGCCCTGGAACAGGTCAGGCCAYGCTGCTGCAAAGATCCTGGTCTGACACTGTGATTGCCATGGCGAGGTAAAAGATGGGTATATTTCAGTTTTAAAGAGGTACTGAGAAGGGAGAAGGCAGGAAAAAGCCATGATATCAAAGGTCTGAGGAAAAGTTCTACATGAGCACAAGCCAGAATAAAAACCCTTCCCCAAAGCAGTAGTAATTGCATTTTGTTTTGTTTTCCAGGTCATTATGTAATGGGTAATTTTCTCATAACTCACAATTTCTTCCTTTCAGGCATGATCATGTGGCAGCCTTAGATGTCTGAAGATCACTCCTCTTCCCTTGGGTCCCAGCCACCAAGGTGGGTCAGAGGAGTCTTTTGCCAGTGGGCGCTTTTGTTTCTTGTCTTAGAAATGACTTCAAATTTGTACTGGCTTTTTTTTTTTTTTTTTTTCCTCTCTTCTCCTGAAAATGTACTTTAAATAAATTCTTTTCATTCTCTGATGATTTAAGCCATGGCTGGATTATTCTGGTACTGGGGACAGCGCGTGTTATTTCTGCTTTTGTGCAGCTTTTGGATATTTTTGATTAAATCTACAAGAAGTTCTTTTGTGCCAGGATCCATTTGCTAATTGGGAATGGAAGGCGAATGTGAGAGGCACTGAGCTTCTCTAGGCCACCACAGAGTACTGCAAGTTCTTCAAAAGACCTTGGAGGACCTTGGTGGTGTGCTTACCTCTTGGGGTTCTTAAGACAGAAAATAAGAAGAGCATGATAAAAAAAAAAAAAATAAAAATAAAAGGTGCATATTATCCCTGCAAAAGTTTGTGCTACAAACCATTATATTGCACATGCTTAAGTGGAAAGGCTGGGTGCAGCTATATTGGGTTGTTCTGTCTGCAGGCAAAGTACTATCCCGTAGTTGAAATGATTCAAGGCACATTGATACTTCTTGTTATTTTAAATGAGCTAATGGGCTTCATGGCTCGTAAAAGCATGGGGAATGTTCCTGAGAACACTTCTGAGGAGTCTGTTCAGTTATAATAGATGAAACAACCAGCCTCTCTGACAAAGGCAATTGGCTGTATCCCTGCAATATATAAATGATATTTGAAATGCTCAGGCTTTTACCATGGGGGAAGTGAAGGTAACAGTGCCTATGGATATGTTGTCTCGCTGGAATGCGGGAACTGGCAACTGTTGTGGGCACTGTGGTCATCGTGCTCTAACAGACTATATAACCCATAGGCATGGCCAGGCTGCTAAAGAAGGAAAGAGAAGCTCTATGCATGTTCATGGTCTGAGTATGGTGCCCTTGAAACTGTAAACTCACAGGTGGAATTTTAAAAAAATGATCCAAGGGATAAGTGTTGTGCATAGCAGGGGAAGTATTAATCGTGTTAGCGAGTTGGAGAGACTATATCCAACTAGATGAACTCTTCATGAGGAAACATAAGCTTTCCTGTCTAATGTTGGCTCTGTATTATATGTAATGTTTAGTGGAAGAGCTTTTAACTCTGAGCTTAGTTGTATCAGAATAACCTCAATGGATGAGTTTGACTTCCTCTTTTTGTGCTGCAGAGGAACACACCTCAGTAATTTTCCAGGGAGCCAACATATCTCTCGTAGAATTGTCAGTCTTTTGTGAAAATGATGCTCCACTTTAATCCATGTAATCAGTTGAAAGTTAGAATTAGTTTTGGGAGGAAGACCCTGGGAAGAGAAAGTTTGCAACTGCAACTTGAAATACATCCTGAATAGCAGTGCCTCTCTGAAGTGCTTATTTGCTAATACCTAGTGGTGTGTGTTGTGTATGATGGTTTGTGTCATGGCAGTAAGAAAACTGCTTCTCAGTTTCCTGTCAAGACATCCCAGGAAAAAAAAAAAACAGTTGAGATTTGAAGCTTTAGCTCATCCTGTCATCTTGAGAAGAAGTGAAAATGTGTGTGTGTGTATGAAAGAAAGAAAGAAAGAAAGAATTCTGGTTTGGAAACAGAAACTTTTTAGTCCATTTTGTTAAAAGTGGGCCCATGTAGTAATGCCACAAAACTACCCTAGATTAGCAGTACTGGTCTCCCCTACTCCTGGCCTTTCCCACCTAATTCCTTCCTTGGTCACTTACCTTTAAGAGATTCTTCTCCAGTTCTGTCTCCTCACATTCAGCTTCCACCTATGCCCATGAGATTATGATATTGCTTTCCCCAGCCATGTGCTTGGTGATGGCTCTTGCCTGGGCAGCACCAAAACMTGTTTCTACCCAGCCTCAATAAATCCTGCCTTCTCCAGCTGCTATGCATCCAGCTTAATTCTCTCTCACCAGCCCTCCACTGACTCCTGCCTCTCARTTTTGAAGTATAAGATACTTATTTTCTTCTCCAAAGCCCTTCATGAAACAGGCTTCAATTGGGATTGAGAAATGTGTCACTTCTGATCGGCTTCTGGAGCCAGCCTCTGCTGCCTATTTATTATATATAGTCAGGTGAGCCCCTTTGTGCTTAGTCCTGTGCTCCCTTTGGCACTTGACAGTGACCTACCATAAAATATATTTGCCACTAGCTCATTATTGCTTTTAAATGACTTGTTAAGGTCGACTGATTTAGTCAGACTTAAGGATTATTAGGTAAAGTCTAATAGAGGTCAGCCTTGCTGACTCAAATTTGCTGCTTAGCCTTAAATGCTATGAATCTCCAAGATTTCTGAGTTTTATTTGATGTTTGGGCTGTGGAGATATCTTTTCCATGCCTGCAGTGTGGGTACACTTGCTATGCTTTACTTTGGTATTTTGAGCTTCCAGAAACGTTTTTTTTTCTTCTTCTTCTGTAAAACAGAGGTGTTTCATAAGCATTTCTTTTCTGTGTTTTTCATGTCATTAATGTGAAATCTAATGAAATAGCTCCTGAATCCTCCCTGCTCCTCTGACTGCCTTTACTAGCTAACTGTCTAGGCAGCATCTGCTCCTGTGGCTGGTGCACACCAAGTAATACACAGACAAAAGGTTGTCGATAGTGCTTGATAGCACTAGATAGCACAGCTTGATCCCAGCAACAAATATTCAAACACGGTCACGTGAGCTGTTAACTTCTCATTTGCCTTCAGAATTCCTTTTTAAAGGAGTTGCTGTTCAAGGAAAAACAGTATTTCCTATTTACTGATCTCATATTCATTTCCAATCTTTTGTTACACACAGATTAATGGAATGAAGTTGCTAATGTACTCCTTATTGCATCATTGATCATAATTCCCTGCTGTTTGAATCCCTAATTAAATTTATGTATCCTGCCTTGTGAAACACAAGGTACTTGCCTACAAAGCTCTAATTCCACTACTGCCCACATCTCTGTCTGTAACCCCTTATCCTTCCATTTTTCCATCATTACTCATTTTCCCTTCCTTAAGTACCTCATCAGGATTCACTTAGGACAAATGTTCAGTTAGTGTGAGAAAAAAAAAAAGGATCTTCTGCGTAATTTTTTTTTCTTTTGACTTCTTTTCCTTTTTTTACAACTGGTGTTGTTGTCTTTCTCATGAACATCCATGAGAACTATGAYGAAGCTACAGGAGTTTAGGAAGTTACAATGATGATCTTGGTGTCTCTCTCTTGGACCTGCTTCAGTACATCAATGTCATCCTTTCCTAGGAGAACCCCCAGCTGGAAACAGTGCTCCAAATATGCTTGGAAACGGTGCTCCAGATGTGCTCCTGCAAACGCTGAAAAGAAAGGAGGAATCACTTYCCTCAACCTGCTCAAGGAAAGTCTACACCGTGTCACTGAGAACCCAGTGACTACAGATGTATTCACCATCACATTGGTTCAGTGTGTGTAGTGTACATTAGAAGTAAAGACTGTAAAAGTTTTGTCTCCTAACTCCATATTTTCAAGTGACTTTCCAAATACGTTCGAATTCCCAGCACTGAATAYGACTGAAATTTTAATTTATGCTAGGAAGTGTTTGGAGGTATTATTTGCCATTCATTTTTCTTTTCTTGTCAGAGGCAATAGAACAATTACAGAGAGGACATTTCATAACTGTCTGATCTGATTTTGGTTTACATGCTAATCCCGGCCTCCTCTTTCAGACATTAACTTTGGGCTTTCCTGCACTATCAGACATCCGCTGGCATAGCCAAAGAGCTGTGTGTCCTCAGAACACACTGCTACACTCAAGTGTTTTAGTATTATTGTATATGCTAGGCACATTGGCAATGGTGGTTATGCTGAATTTCCATGGGATTGTGGCAATACTGAAATTATAAGAGCTTGTTATTTTTTTAAAAAATAGTTTAATTTACAGACAAATATTAATAAAATCATTAAATTTGGCATTTAAGCTCTACTAGCTGTGGAAGTCTCTAGAGCAATTTCAGTTTCAGGAGCAGCAAGAAAATTACTTTTAATATCTGCGGGGCTAACTATAGCCCTATGATAAATTATAAACTAGATCATAGGCTTCTAATATTTTAATATCTGGACAGTGACCCAGAACAACCTCCTTCTGCGTCCATAAAAGTGATTCATTTTCATGGCTCATTCATCCATAGAAATATCTTCAGCTGAGATGACTGGTAGCGGTGCATGATTCTGCATTACAGATTTTTGAAGTTCACAGAGAACACAGCTACTCACAAATCAATTATTTGTAACCCCTGTCAGCTCATACCATGGAATTTATATGCACACACGCTAATTATGGATTCCCTCATATTTTTTGTTCAGGCAACATGCTGATAAACCCATTCTTTATACTAGCAGTGGTTCTCACTTAACTCTTAAAATGTTTCAAATTGGTGTTTTAAATGATGTATGTTAAGGTGGGAGTATGATTAAGGCTCGAAAGTTGCCTGCTTATTAGCATAGATGGTCTGAAATATAGTGCCTGGTCGTACTTTGGAGAGCTGTTGCAGTCCTGGTGTTTCTCTAAATGTCAAACACACCTGACATTTAGAGATCCTGAAGGAAAAAGGAATGGTAAAATATGTGACCATGGAGCTGATAATTGAAAACTGGACTTAATAAGTCAGGTCTGCAAGGCTGTTACCCTGGTCACTGGTGCAGCAGGTGTGTGATTAAGTGTCTGAACCTGTGAAGACTTATGAGAGCAAACATTCRCATCAGCCATATGATAAAAAATAATCCTAGAGGGAAAGATTCATGATCAGGARGAAAAAGGTGATGAGCGGAGCTGGTGGTTTGTCATGATTGCAGTTGCACCACTGTAAATCTGTAAGTTTTCTGTGCCACTTCTGCATTTTGGGCATCAGTGGCTAACTGGAATTTAATTATCCAGCAGTTTGGATAAGGAGCTCGGGATGCTACAGCCACGGTGTAAACAACTATATAGCTGCTGTGCACCTATATGGTGCTGCCCTGCCTTACTCCAGCAAAGGCATGTCCAATAAATCCAGCCAGTATTTCTATTCTAATAAAGCCTGGACTTCTTCCATATAGGATGTATTCAGAGTGCTTCACAGGTCTCTCTCCCTTGTCTTTAAGGGCAACGGATACTCAAGGAATGCCAGAAATGAAATGTKGTGAGAGTGGTGCTTGATTATGGGGAAGGCTCTGCCCCTCAGTTCCATGGTTTGTGGTGTAATTTTATACACACACGCTGTTAAAAACTGCTCACTTGGGAAATAACAACCACTAAAAGCATTTGGGGATTTCAAGCCCGGTAGAAGGGTTTTTCTCTCATTTGTCTCTCTYTGGCAAGAGCTGCAATATAGCACTCCTTGTCAGGGTCAAGGGGAGGAGGAGGAGATGAGTGGGGCAAAAGCAGTCGGAAATGGTTCTCCCGGGAGGCTTTCTGGTGGAAAGCATCATTTCTGAAGCTAGAGTGAAGCCTTTGCAGCACCTCTGTGCAAAATTAGTCCATGCTAATAGCTTAACACTCTGTAAGAGAGGTATTTGCAGCTCTGAAGAATCCAGCCTTGCTGTTTGCATCTTTGCTACTCCTTTTGATGTGGGGTATGTTCTGTACCTTTCCTGCCAGGTCCCTAGCTCTGTTTTAGCAATCTTGCTGTAAAGGCTGCCATAACCCATTAGGTTTCAGCTGATCCCAGGAGAACTGCTATAGTGCCCATAATCACCCCAGCAATGGCTTGAAAAGAAACTATAATCATCCTCTCTCCTCCTTTATGGATGCAATGGCTGTTGAGTTTCTTTGCTTTTTAAATGCAAAGAAGGTGCCTCTGTCACCTGCAAGAGGCCAGAAGATGGCTAAGTGGCCARGGGCAGACGTAGAGTCATCTGCAGCACAGGAAGCTTCTGAATTCCCACACTGGGGTCTATAGGGTGGATATCAGCACAAAGTAAATGTACCTTTGCTTATATCCTTGCAAGTGTAAAATTCTTGTTGCAGAAATGCTGCGAGCCATGAGCCTTCTAACCTGAGTGTGTGAGCCTTCTAACCTGAGCGTTTCTTCCTCTTAGGGAGTTTTAAGTAATTCTATGGGTGTTCACCATCAGATAAAGACCAGCTTGCTTTTTCATTGTTATCTTAGGTCTTGCTAAGACTAATTATGAGTACAGAACCTAGGAAGGTGCTGAGCTGCATGCACAGTTTAGATCTGTTTCCATCCTGGCTAGTAAATCTGGTCAGGGGACCTCAAAGTTACTATTGCTTGTGCTGTCATTGCACCCTCTTCAAGTTCATGTAGGTGTGTTGCAGAAGAACACATGCCCTGAGGATTCTGATCTTCATAAGGTTTTGTCTCAACTCTTTTGGTATTGGAGCTGCTTTTGGAGAAACGTGTGACAAAATAGGTTGAGAAGTATTAGCTTCTGTTTGTGCAAACCAAGTTAGTTCTCAGTGAGGTATCGGTGCAGGTTAATCTAAGTAGGTTTGAAAAACTAAGACTGTGGCTTTATCCATTGGCTGAGTAGGTGCAAGGCAGGGATCTCTGGATGCACAGGCTGCCAAACATGAGGCAGGTTTGCTGGCACCCCAATTACGACCACAATTAGCTTGGATGCTTGGAACAGTGTCACACGTAATAGGTGGGACAAGAAGGTATGGTAAATGTGAGATTAAGGGAAGCATCATCTTAGCACATGAGAGTCTCTGATTGTAGAAGGTGGATAATAATAGGAAGATGTGTTTTCATGTGCAAAGAAGCAATGAATGTATCCATAATGGGAGCTGCAACTCAGAGTCTTTGGCCATAGGCTGCTGGGCAGCTGGACCTCTCTGTGTGAACTTGCCATGCTTCCTGCACATGCTCTGAAGCGATGGAGATAGTCTTAAATTTAGTCTTTGTTTCAGGATGAATTCAGGTCTATGGTTTGTGGAAGAGGAAAATTCTGTTAAGAGTTGTTAAGAGCCGTACTGGTGGGAGAAAGACGCCTCACAACCAGTAGCTGAACCTATTTATTTTTCATTTATGCCTGAAATGTGTTTCCTTGATTTTTGCTTTTCTCTCTTTTTTTTTTTTTTTTTGGCTAAGTATGTGCTTCTGGGTATGAATATGAAACAACAGCAGCATAACATAAATCACTGATTTTCTTGATATAAATAGTTAAAACTCACTTGTACGTATTTTCAGGAAACAAATGCTGTCCACTAAAGGGAATTCTCCTGAGACCCATCCACTGGATTCTACTATTTATGAGGTATGTATTATTTATTTGACCTAAATATTCTTGTGTGGCTTTCCATCTTGTAAAAACAAGCACGAGAGATTGTATGGCAGTGTTGACAAGCTGCCTGGAACTACTCATCTGAACGATAGGAGGGCTCCACTATTGCTTTTGGTTGGTATGTAGCTGCTGTGTATTGGTTACACAGACTGGATTCCTTGGTCCTTTTCTTCAGTGTTTTGACTTCTCAATGCCCATGCAGTAGGTAAACCTTAGTTTACAAAGCTAAACTGGGTTTAGCTCCATTTACTTCAAAGCATTTCAATTTACCTTTAAGTTAGCAGAGATATGAGCTGCTTAATTAACGGGTTTTCAGAATGATGAGATATGTTTCAACAGAGACAGATTTGTAAAATAAAATAAAAGAATCTTCCCCATAGATTTCTTAATTTTGCCACAGTATAAAAAACCCACCTAGTAGAGACCAGGATCATTATATGAAATTCATGATTGATTGCCTTGTGTGTTGTCATACCACTACAAAAAAAAAAGAAATAATCATATATTAAACCCAAAACGCTTCTGCTGTAACTGTGGTTCCCAAATACGTTTTAGTACTAGTTTGAATAATCCTATGGTTTGGCCACCCCCTTTCTGTCTGTTCTGAGCACCTGTTTTCAGTTAACTGTGCAAGACGGACCAAAATTCTGCGCTGACTTTACACTCTGAACAACTCCACTGAAATCAGAGAGACTAGCTGATTTTGAACCCTGTCCACATTATTGCACTTCATTTCTTCTGGAAAAAAATTATTATGGAAAAATTACAGTACAACTAGCCAAACTGATGGGAAATTTACAAGATGACGGTAACATACTTAAAACCAACTGTGCTCTTGTGGCTGCTGCTTCATTCTCTCCTTTTTCTTTGGAAGCCAGTTCGTTTTCTCCTCGCCTTATTTTACTTGAAAGTAGCCACATTTCAGGCGGGAGCTCCAGGAAAGATTTGTTATAGAGGAATGTTTTAAGAAAAGAGTAAAGTAAAGGAAAAACAAGTAAAATGATGTTTAACAAACTAAACAGATTAAACAAACTAACCAGGTCCTGAAATGTGAGCTSTGATCTGAACAGTGCATGCTGGTCCATACATCCAGGTTGTGTGTGGTTCTTTTTCATTTTATTTGCTACTGGATTCAAGAGAAAACAGCTGCATAATCCATTCATGTATACAATAAATTCTTGCATTTGTTTCTGAAAAGTTGTTGTTAGCATCCAGCCTTTTCACTTGTTTTGCCATCTTTCATACATTACTGCACATATCGGACACATTCAGACAAGGTTTTTTTTGTCCTGGATCTGTAATAAATATTATAGAATAAGTGATAGATTAAACTCTTTTCATAGTTTCCATATTGTGCCAAATCCATCCAAGGAAATCTTAGCAAATGCATATTTAATGTCTTACCTAGTTTTGCCCAAATCTTTAGAGTGATCTAATACACATTATTTTGTGTGAGTCCAGTTAAGGAGTATGCTCAGATATTGAGAAATATGAGGTCAAAATTATGTTTTGCTGCATACTTCCTTTATAGTACAAATAAGTCCCCATGAATGGGAATTAGCTGACCAAATTTAAGGCATCTTGTCTTCTGCAGCCATAGAGTTTCTCTCTGTACCCAGCTTAGGAAGAGGTGATCCCTTGGAGGAACTTTAATGCGCTTCTTAGGAAGGACTGGTTGCCCTTGTAAAGTGCTTGACTTTCTGTTGATGATGGAGGGAGCCCAGGTTACTATTTTAGACAAGGTGCCTAACTTTAGGTGCTTGAAACCCAGTGAAAGGAACCACAGATTTAATCTTGCTCTGCTTCAGCTTCTCCTCTGTAAATCTGAGACGGCAGCATTATCTTGCTTCAGGAAGCTGCCATGAGGATGTTAATGATTATGAGGTGCTCATATGTTATAGTAGAACTCACAGGAATATAAAGATTTATGCCATAGAAAGGGAA